AATTCCCTGACATACTAACTAAAAGATGGTGCACTCACACACTCCATGAATGAGGCTCAGGTTCAGAGATGACTCAGTCCCTGCAGAGGGGCTGCTCTCTTCTGGCAGAGATCCTCCTCAGGCAGGAACCAGGCTGCTTCGGTCCCAGGATTTCCCCTCACCACAAAGGGGTGCAAGGCTCAAGGTGCAGGCCACACAACTGCACTAAAATTCAAACTGTAATCTCCTACCCCAGCATTCAGACACACACACAGCAGGCAGCAGCCCCGAACCAGCAGACAGCACAGCAGGCAGCAGCCCCGAACCAGCGGACAGAGCAGAGCTGACCATGTGGTGACTGGTCTCACCCAGGGAGCTGGAGAGCCAACTCAGCCTGGCTGGGGAAGCCTCCCAGCAAACTCCATAAACTGGGAATCAATAGTGGAGAAATAAAACCCAGCTGAGGGATCCTGCATTCAGGTCCCCAGAGGCTAGTTCTTCGGGGGGGGAGAGAACCCTGGATGCAGGCCTGGGGTTTACTAGCTCCCACACAGTCAACCCTGGCTTGCTCCAGACCCCTCCAACCATGGCTCCTCCTCCCCCCCCTGAACTCCCTGGGAGGGGCATCTCACTCCCTATGGGTTGCCGGGCAGACTCTGCCCCTGGTAGGGAGGGGGAGCCAAGGCAAACTCAGTGCCTCTCCCTGAGCTGCCAGCAGACAGAGCCCTGGGAATCTAAGTAATCTCCTTGGGGGTTACAATGTGATAACCCTTAGGGTGTGTCTAGACTACAGAGTTTTGTCAACAAAAGTGCTACACTACCACTGAGTTCTGTCGACAGAACTCAGCAGGTTTGTCGACTCTGGTAAACCTCATTTTACGAGGCATAACGCCTTCTGTCGACAGAGTTCTGTCGACAGAAGGTGTTATTGCATGTAGGGTTGTGTCTAGACTACAGGGTTTTGTTGACAAAGCAGCTTGCTTTGTCGACAGAACTGGCTGAAGTCTAGACGCTCTTTGTCGACAGAAGCTTTGTCGACAGTATCTGTCGACAAAACTTCTGTCGACAAAACCCTGTAGTCTAGACGTACCCTTACTGTCTCTCCTACACTCTGTCCACAACCCACCTCTGCAGGGGCTACTTCTAATAATCCAAACTTTTGAGAAGCGTATGTTCTCTTTTCATCATATATATTGAACTTCTTTCCAAAATTACTGGTCCGAGGCCCATGAATGAAAATATCTGTGTTCTTGTCCAGTGACTTGCTAATATTATAGTTCATTATTCCCATATTCTCTCATCTTTTGCTTACTAAGATTCCAAGTATTTTATATCTTTTGATAGACACATTGAGTTCCATTGAGGAGGAAAAGGGTACTGGGACAAAGAAAAAGAATGATTGCTAACTTTGAAAATAAACCACCTCAGTTAATATAACTTATTAACTTCCCCTTTAGGTTATTTAATTTACTTATTTCATTTTTTTCTCATTCTGTCCCCCATCTGTGATAGAAAATTCAAATACTGATACATTGCATAAAAGTATAAATGGAACAAACCTTAAAAGGAAGGGTTATATGGAGGTGAAGTGGCAGAGAAGGGGATGCAAAGTTATGCTGAGTGAGAATTAAGAAAACCTTCATTCCATGCATACATCAACTAATATTCTGTATATTCTATATATGCTAAAATAAAGGTATTTTAGGTATGTTTTAAGAGAGTGCTTAAAAATTGTATTGGGATTATTTGATGTATCATAGGTTTTTTCTTTACTGCCAGTCCAATGGTATATAGCTCAGAATGACAGAAGAAATAAAACTAACATACATTAAGCAGCTCTAAATATGGCAACAAATATCTTTTTTCTGCATTTTAATGTCATGACTTCAGTATCCAGTATCTCGGGATTTTCCAGGGTAGGAAGCAAGTACCATGAGTCATATTGAAAAGCTAGGAATCTTCTTTCCAAAGGTTTTGAAATACCCATTTCTAGCTGTGTGGCATTACATGTATCAGGTTTGTTTTGATGGGGGCAATTCTAGTCAGGGTGGATTGCAGGGAAAGGTTGCTGAGGGTTTTTTTTAATTGGGTTCTTTGTAGGTGTCTTATAGTTAGTGGTTTAGAAACTGAGTGAGTGAGTCTTGGGGCAGATAAACAAGTGGGCAGAGTGAAGATGAAGAGGTAAAAGATGCATAATTGCAGTTCATCACATGACTTTGCAACATTCCTGTATAATCGATTATATAATGCAATAGTAGTTCTGGAAACCTGAAAAGTGGTGCACCATTATAAGATAGATTGCAAAGCTACGTGATACATTGAGAAGTCACGTGATGATGATATTTATATTGCAGCAACATCTAAAGATCTTAGGATAGAGACTGCATGTGTAGGGCACTATAAGAAAATGTATATGAACGATCCATAGGACATTCCAGCTTTAAAATGAATGGGAATTTTGATATTGACTTTGGAAGTCTGGATATAACTTATCGTCCCTCCCCTGGGGAACATACACCTAAGAAGTCACCTATGAGTGGTCAGGAGAGAAGACACTATCAAGTGTACAGACTTGTATAAAAGTGTTATGTACATATAAATGTGTGCATTTACTTTCATTATGTTTATACATAAGGCAAGGTCTGAAACTAGCACTGAATTGGGGTCAGCTTCAGTAGAAAAGGAACCATCTGAGAAATTGTTATTAAACAATTGTAAATAACAAGGCATTGGTTTAAAAATTTTAAAGAAAACCTTAAAGAGAAAAAACTGAAAAGGGAGGGTCTGAATTATCTACAATTTTAAAAAGTTGTATCCTAGCAACAGTATTTAACAATAAACATATATTGTATAAAAGTTAAAATGCAGTAGTTAAATGAGACATAGGAAGGGTTAGTCATAATATATGCATTTTTATATTGTATCAAGTAATCTGATTTAAAATGAAATAATATTTGCACTTATTTTTGGGAGGAAATGAAATGCAGATATTAGAGTGGTGCTACATATATTCCAGGTTGGAATGGAAATTACATTGTTTTGACTGGGTTATTTCTGTATCCATGCAAACCATCCTCACCTCTCCGCTGTTTTTAACCCCCTTTATAAAAGTACAGTTGTATCAGAGGGTTCTAAGGCCCCCTTACAGGGCGTACTTAGGAGGGAGAATTTGAAAAAGAAAATGTGACAGCCAGTTTTGAGAATGAAGGGCATTTTCCTGGTAGACATTTTTAGTGCAGTGTTTTGCTAGCATATCAGGCAGTCATTTGGAATCAAGTGCAGACTTGTGCTACGTTGTTGGGGCTTGGCAATGACAATTTTGTGTGTGTGTGTGGCGCTTTGGTTATATTAGCCCTGGAGGCAGAGTTAACACTTGCAATGGGACAAGAGTATTTGCAGTCATCAGAGAACTTTGCAGTCAGCTTCAATAACATCACTCCATTTTTTCGCCTTTTTTTTTAACTTTTTTTTTTTTTTTTTTTTTTTTTTTTTTTTTTTTTTTTTTGGCAGCAAAGCTCTTAGTAGAACCATCTGTCTTTCTATTAGTGTTTTTGAGTCCTGTTTTGAAGCTTCTTTGCTTGGCAAAGTCACTTTCATCCTTGGAAACCATTTTAAAAAAAAAGTTCCATGGCTTCTTGCCGAAGAAGAGTACTATGCAAAAATTCCACACGGCTGTTCATTTTTGTTCTAAAAGAATACAGTTACTTTGTCTTAAAGAAATATCAAGGCAGAAATGGGACAATTCCAGACTGAATGTAAGGAGGAAGAAATAGAATTTTATATTTTCTCTCTCTCAAAATCCAAATATGCCTTTATAATTATCAACAAGGAGAGTAAAATAACAGCCAGAATGAAGTGAGTTAACACAGTGATTGGTGCTACATCTAGCATAGCTTTAGTCTTGAGTTCAGTCTCTAGCTGCAACAATTTCTAACCAATACATCTTGTGAGCTTCACCTAACAGGATATCCCAGACTGTAAAGGTGCAATATCTGCACACACAGTCACCATCATTCTTAACACTGTATACATCACACCATGAACCAAATTTTTAATTTATAACAGCCTATCTGTATCTCTTACGCCTCTGTGCCACATTTCTGTGGTCTGTCTTGATGACCTCTCTTGTAAGGTTTTCTCGGTCATCCTTACTTTTACTGACTGTTCTCCTGAAAGGCAAAGCTTTCATTTATTAGCATCTTTTTTGTTGTTGTTATTGTTAAAACCAGTCATTCTGCTGATGACTTAAGTTACTAAATGGTTTGCTCCTCTTCTACAAGATATGTGAAAACATTCTGACCATTTGTAGTACTCAAAAATGCTGTTAAAACATTGTAAAAGTAGTAGTGTTAGCTGTTGTGTTATGGCGAATTTCTGATGTGAATGACCGCTTTCTGTCTGCCTAAAGTCTCCTTTAGTTTCACTTGCATTATAATAGTCTTCATTTCCTGCCCTACACTTTTGTGTAGCATTGCTGTGCAAAGTGAAACAGCAGACGCTCAAGGCGTGGCTGCATTTCACGTGTGAGCAAAGTATTTTGGTTGTGTTTGTGGCCTTTTCTGAGAGCATGTCTGTGTATGCATATATGTGTGTGTGTAATGTATACATATACACGTATATCCCAACACACACGTATGTCTTTCATATTTGAAAAGTGTTTAGAATCATTTCATTTGGGATGAAAGGTGCTATGTATATGATTGTAATTTGGGAGCACTGTGATAGATAAAAACTGCAGCCATGGTTGTTAAGATATTATGGTTTGGGGGGAAATAATTGAAATGAAATATATTGAAATGAAATGAAGTGTGCCTTTAGTGGCAGGGCATGTTGTAATTAACACAGCTGAACTGTTGATGTTATTGGAACCCCCTCACAACATAGGAGGATACTCTTAGTCCCGTGTTGTCCAACCAGTTTTGAAGCACCCACACTCAACCGTCCAATAAGCCACATGTGGCTAGTGGCTAGCATGTTGGACACCATGGCTCTATGCTGAGGCTCTCTAGTCCTTCTGGACCACAAGGTCAGCTGCCTCCATTGATGATTCCAGTGTTCCCTCCAGACCAACGAACCCTAGCAGCAGCTGCTCAGCAAGGATTCCTCCTTCCTCCTGGTTTCAGCTACAAGGCAGGATGCAGTAAGTCCTGTAGATTTTCCAGCTGAAAGTGGGAAGAGGGCAGAGTTTTAAACCAGGTTGTCCCATAGTTATGCTGAACTAAGTCACTAGATCAGATATATCGCTGCTACTGCCTTGAGGTGACAGACCCACCTAGCTGAATTTAGGATTTATAGAATAGTGTGAGAATAGATTTGCCAGGAAATCTCTTACATGTTCACTGATGTAATGGCCAAGAATTTCAGAATTTGCTAGTGAATGTGGGTGTGCACCTTGAAGGGTCCTGATTTTCATAGGATATGTGCTCAGCCCTTTCTGAAAATCCCTTTACAGTGTGTCAAGTTGGGCACTGACCATCACTATTTACTTTTGAAATTCTTGACTATGTTGTACAGTGAACACGCTCATTGGCACACACAGATACTTCTCTTTCAATCTAAAGAGGAAGTTGTTTAAAATGGCCCAATAAATTTCAACACTATAGTAGGGAAGTATATTTTTTCCTCTAGCAGCCTGCTTGCTTTTTATTAACTAAGGGCCTATTCTACCCTCTTTTTACAAACAGAACTTACATTCATCTCTACGGGAGTTCTGTACAAAGATCAAGGATAGCATATGTCTCTCAATTTGATGGACTAACACAAAGCATAAGTATATTTTACAAGAGTCTAAGACTAAAAACTGTGTAACATCTTTTAAATCTTTGAAAGCTTTATTGTCACTACCGGATCCTGATTTTTTTTAACAGTTTTATTTAAGTTTTCCATAGGATCTCTTGTTCCTGTCAACAAAATAAGAATAAATATAGGTTAAAAATAAATCAGTAATCTCCCTTTCATTGAATTGATTGAGCTTCAGCATAAATTCTATAAACCTTGTTTCATGCATTTGTGCTTATCTAACTCTATTGACATCAGTTTCCTATCTTGTTATCTAAGACTTGCTTGTTTTACCATTCTCTCTCTTTAGTGTCTCTGTTTAGCTTTATTATGTCCGCATCACTGTATCCATCTGTATCATTGACTAACTCATGAATTCGTCAATTGTTTCTGGTTAGGCGGCGCTCGCCAGTGGAGCGGTTTATTAAATTTTGAATGCAAAGAGACTGTGTGGTGATACTTTTCATCCCGCCATTTGAGATGCTTTTGTTTTTCTAACTTTATAGATCCAGTATAAGGTTTCTGTGGGCAAAGTTCCCTTTCCCTTTGGTCATCACCCATCATCTTGGTGTACTATAGTCTGTTATCAGTACTGAGAAATCATTGTTCAAAGCACTTCACCTCACTCAGCAGCTGCAGTGCCAACGCATGGGCTCCTTCACTTCTTCCAGTGATTTCACGCCCACTTGTTCTCAAATGGGAGAAATAGTGATTCACATTGCAGAATATGTAACCGAAAGCCACATTGAATATGAATGCTACCATAACTGTAGGCCTGGAAAAGGTCAAGAAAACACCCCATTAGACGTATCTGGCAGATTACATTAGTTCCGTGTTAATGAAGTCTGACTTGGAGAGGGTTTTCTTCTAACTGTTAGTAAATTAACAGTAGGATAGTCACATAGTACCTCACATCCATGAAGTTCATATGACATCACATATTTTTGTAACCTTGGAAATGAAAAAAACTGAACAATGTTGCCGCTGCTCCTGGCAATAAGGCTTGAAATTAACAGCATGCCAAGGTCTAAGACTGAGCAGAAGCCAGTGGAAAAAGACAGCTCTCTGTTTGCTGATTCCCTGGCATGTTTGACTGAGTTTGAATGAGAAGCTGAAGGGAAGTGATCGGTAGTCCAAAGGATTTTTTTCTCACAATTTAATGTAAACAAGGACATATATTGGTCCAGCTATATCTGGAAAGCTTGTAGCAATGAAAAACATAGCATCCTTGAAAAATGTAATATGCTTCTATCAAGTAATAGGGTTTTTTTTGACAGGCAATTAAAACAACTTCCCTTTTCTATCCATCTCTTCTCCATTTTTGTCAGTTGTAATGGTAAAGCATGATAAACAACAGACAAAATTTTAGGTAAAATTTTCAAAAGTGTTCAAGTGACATAAGAATCTGCATTCAATTTTCAAGTGTCCTAGGCCCTTGGCAGCATAAGTCCCACTGACTTTCACAAAGACTTAGGATCCCAGTAACCAGATTTTCAAAGTTATTTCTGGGCATCTAAAAATGCAGACAGGTGCCAAATGGGATTTTTCAAAACAGCCAAAGACGGTTATGTGCCTAACTTCCACTGATTTCCATGTTAGGCGTTACCTGCTTAGATACTTGAAAATCTCAACTAAGTACCCATCTACATTTTTAGGCACATCAAATGCCTTTGAAAAATCTAGCCCCGTTTTCTAAGTAACTTTAGAAAATGGAACTTAAGTTCCTAAGTCATTGAGGTACTTTTGAAAATGTTAATCTTCAAGCTTGAGCTGAATGTGTTTCATGAAAATTTTACAAGACTGATGTATAGACTTCCCAAGTGACAATTCTATTACTTACTAGCTTTCATAACTTGCATTTAGGAATGAAAAACTGCATGAGACTCTTAGTTCTATTGACAAACAGGTAAGAACCCCATGCTAGCAAGTTTCATATAACATTTACTCACAAATGGGGAATTTATAGATGGGGGGCAAGGAGTTTTATCTAGATAAAAAGCGGGGCTACATTTTCAAAAAGGGATTAGTGATTTTGGGTGCCTTGATTATTGTTGGTTGCCAAGTTTGAGACAGCTGGAAAGTGCCCAGTTTTCAGAAGCTTCTGTGGCCTGCTCTCTGAAAGTCAGGCCTCCTTAAAGGCTCTCAAGTTGGGACATCCAATAATGAAGGCATCCCAAATCACCACTCACTTTTTGAAAGTTAAAGCCCAACATATTGCAAAAAAGACCTTAGATTACTGAGCTGGGAAGACATATCAGTATCTTATTCAGTACAACTACTTGTTTCATTCAACTTGTTTCATTGCTTTCCTTTTTTTTTCTCTTGGCCAACAGAAGTGCCTGGTTTTCTGGAGTTTATCTGTTTCTCCCATTAGCTTCAGTGAGAATTATATGGTCAAATTCATTAGCCAGCCCTTTAAAATCGTTTACCCCAGAGGACTAATTGCTTTCTGGGGAGGGAGGAGTCATTTTGGTGAGAAAAATACTATTTTCTAATTTCTACTTCCTTCTTGAAATTCACTGAAGAGCTGCTGTGACATGCTATTGTAAAAGGAGCGTATCCACTGTAGATTGGCTGTCTGATTAGTATGGTATTCTGGTGTGATGAGATATTAATACCAATATAATGATAATTCACTAATATCTAGTATTTTTATCCATGGGTCTCAAAGTACTTTGCAAGAAGTATGTGATATGATCATTCCTATTTTACAGAGGGTTAAACTGAGGCAGGAAGATTAAGTGATTTGCCCAAGGTGAGATGGCAGAACAGATTATCAAACCCATGTTTCCTGACTTCTAGTTCAAGGCACTACGTGTATCTCTTTCCTTTATCTTCCTAAAAAATGGGATGGCTTGTTTTGTTGTGTTTTTTTTAACAGATGGTTTTATTTAATAATGGATCATCTAAACAAGTTGATACTTCCTCTTCTTTCTCTACGGCATATTGTGTAGTGGTAAAGTTGGCAGAAAGAAGCATGAAGTTTTTGGACTTGAATAAAAATCTTCTAGTAGTATTGGATTTGTAATAAGAAAATTAAGCAGAATTCTTGATCCATGGCTCTGGTTGCTATCTGGCCTCCCTACCTAGCTTCTAGTGTGATTGCTTAAAATGTTTGATATTATTATTTATAACCAAAGTAGTTGTTTCTTAGTAGAAAAAGAAGTTGCTGATGTGCCATGGTGCGAATACACTGTTCATGAATTTCTCCATGAATAGCAGTAAAAATAATGGCTATTCATTAGTCATCTCTTTGCTAAACATTTCAAGTTTATTATAAAAAATTGAAATCCTAAAATATTGTGTGCATGATATCTGCTTTTGATGGATAATGAAACACCATCTATATGTAGGATGAGAAATAAAAACAATTGCTGTCAACAATTACTAATGAACCCCAGGAGGGAGGGGGACTAAAGCCTGAGCCAACCCTAGCCCCTTGTCCCAGGGAGAAGCCAAAGCCGAGGGCTTCAGCCCTATGTTTGAGGCTAGTAATCTAAACCCTGGTGGTGCGTGGGCTTCAGCTTTGCATCCAACAAATCGAATGCTTGCCATGGCGACCCCATCAAAAGAGTGTTGCAACCCACTGCCCTTGTGGACTGAGCCAGGCCCACCAACAAGTAGGGGGAAAAGAGGGCCAGTTTTCCTAGGGCCTAGCAATTCAAAAGAGCTACTGCAGGGATGGTGGTGGCAGTTGGTGCACTGGGCCCTTAAATTGCTGCTAGAGTGCTTCATGGTGCACTTTGGGCAGTGCTAAGGCCTGGGGTGGGAGGGACCATGGCGCACTCTGGGTGGCACTAAGGTCTAGTGGGGAGGGGCCCTTATGTGTGCCAGGCAATGCTGAAGGCTGGGTGCCCTCAGTTCCACCCCTTCTGGGAGTGCAAAGCAGCCCCCCCCCCCAACCTCACCCAGGGGCCCCCCCCCCCCCCCAACCTCACCCAGGGGCTCAGCAAGTCTCCTTGGACTGAGCGCAGGGATAAGAGCCAAACTTCTCCTCCTCTAATGTAGTGGAAAAACTCTTGATCACTGCCACAGGTGTGCTGTGTGATTTTCCCCTAGACTGTACCCTTTAACCTTAAAATATCCTACTATTACTATCACTAGGTCAGATTCACTGGTGATACAGTGAATCATCCAGCATTCTGCTAATCGGAAAACTTCGTTAATCGGCAGTGCCCGCAGCCACCGTGTCTTCAGGCACGCACACCTGATTCCCCTCTGTCCCGCTGGCCATTGCGGGGCTTCTGACAGGTGACACTGCTGGCTGATGTCATCAGGAGGTGCCTCCTTCCCCATCAGCCTATCTCGAGCTGTTGGGAGCTGGATCTGCAGATTGCGGGTCGGGACAGAGCAATAAATTTT